CTCCTCCTCCCTCTCCCTCTCTCTCTCTCTCTCTCTCTCTCTCTCTCTGTCCATCATAGATCTAACTTTTTCTCCTGAGATGTTTTTATTAAATATTCTTCCTGACAGTTGTAAGAAACATGAACTGTATATAATAAGTTATATATTAGCTTCAGCTAGAATATTGTTTGCCAGATATTGGAAAACAGATGGAATACCTGTTAATGAGGAAACAATAGACAGAATGTCGGAAGTGGCGGAAATGGACCGGCTATCTATAGTACTGCAAGGGAAAGATGAAGAGCCGGCTCTCCAGATTAGAGTCCGCCGCTCTTAACCGCTACACCGCACTGGCAGCTGCAGACGGGGCCTTCTCAGTGTTGGCGCCCCTTCTGTGGAACACCCTCTTCCCTGGGCACCTACTCTATTAGCACTCTGGCATCGGGTTGCAGCGCTTCTGTTCGTCCAAGCTTCTCACTCCAATTTTAACCAGTGTCAGTGTGAGCTGGCTCACGGTTTTTTAGCCTCTGCTCAGGAAGGATGTGTCTCCAGAGCAAACTGATTTATTCAGTAGCCAAATCGCTCACTCACAACTTTAATGCCAGCAGCTCACAAAGCAGGATTCTTGCTCACAAGGCTCCACAGCTTAGAGGGAGCATCGATTTTAACCCATCTTTTCTTTTTTTTACTGATCTTGTCCTGTTTTCTCCCCCACCCCACCCCTGATTCCCACATGTTTTTTCCCCTCGCTGATTTGAGCGCACACGGTTTTAGTGCAGGGCAGTTCAGGCCTAGTGGCCTGTTTCTAACTGTTCTCAACGTACTTTTACTTGTTTTGTTTTGTTTTGTTTTGTTTTTTTGGGATTTGTATCCCGCCCTACCCATACGGCCCAGGGCGGCTAACAGCGGCCATGCCGAATCAAAACATAAAATACATTAAAACTTCAATAAGTACAAGATAAAATGGTGCTCTGCAGTACATAGTAAAAATCAAAGTCATTTTAAAATCCAAGATGGTCGATGTTCTCGTTAGCTGCTTTGAGCAGAGAGTTGAAGCGGTGGGATATAAGCGTGCTGAATAAACCAAACAGCCTCTCGCAACACGAAACGGATCCCCCCCCCAAAAAAAAATCCTTAAATGTGGCTGCCGGAGTAGCTTCCTCGCCAGTTTGGTGTGGTGGTTAAGAGCGCGGATCCCCACGCCTCCACATGCAGCTGCTGGGTGACCTTGGGTCAGTGACAAGTTCTCTCAGAGCTGTTCTCTCAAGGGCAGTTCTCAAAAGAGCTCTCTCAGCCCCACCTACCTCACAGGGTGTCTGTTGTGAGGGGAGGAAGGGAAAGGAGTCTGTAAGCCGCTCTGAGACTCCTTCGGGGAGTGAAGGGCGGGGCATAAATCCAATCTCTTCTTCTCCTCCTGAACAAGACTGTTCTGCAGCGGCTTGTAAACGCTGCCCGGGCAAGAGTCCTTCTTAGTTCCCCTAGAATGCCATTCCAGAAGAGGGCAGGGAGGGGCCTAAAAAAAGACCGTGATTTGATTGAAGCAAATCTGAGCCAGGGTGGTGCAGCGGAGAGAGCAATGCAGATCGGAATCCCCACTGGGCTGCGGAAGCTTGCTGGGTGACCTTGGGCTCGTCACAAACTCTCAGCCTGGCCTACCTCGCAGGGTTCTTGTTCTGAGAGCCAGTTTGGTGTGGTGTTCAGGAGCGCAGACTCTAATCCGGGAGAACCGGGTTTGATTCCCCACTCTTCCACATGGGATCTTGGGTCAGTCACAAGTTCTCTCACAGCTGTTCTCTCAAGGGCAGTTCTGGAAAGCTCTCAGCCCCACCTACCTCACAGGGTGTCTGTTGTGGGGAGGGGAAGGGAAAGGAGTTTGTAAGCCGCTCTGAGACTCCTTCGGGTAGAGAAAAGAGGAGCGAGTTTGCTGTAGTGGTTACGAGCGTGGACTCTAATCTGGGAGAACCGGGTTTGATTCCCCACCCCTTCCCATGCAGCTGCTGGATGACCTTGGGTCAGTCACAGGTTCTCTTGGAGCTTTTCTCTCAGGAGCAGTTCTCGAGAGAGCTCTCTCAGCCCCGCCTACCTCACAGGGTGTCTGTTGCGGGGAGGGGAAGGGAAAGGAGACTGTAAGCGGCTCTGAGACGCCCAAGTGAATGGCGGGGTATAAATCCAATCTCTTCTTCTTCTCCTCATTTATTTATTATTAGATTAGATTAAACTAAGGAGGGGGGACGGGTGCTGTAAGCCGCTGTAGTCCCCAACGCCGTGGACACAAATAAATAAATGCAACGTCAAATCTGTTCACTTCAGGCAACAGCCCAGAGAGGGGTTCCCTCTAAGGGAGGAGTGGGGAATCAAACCCAATTCTCCCAGATTAGAGTCCGCGCACTTAACCACCACACCAAACGGGGACAAGTTTGTATAGGACAAGAATACCCTTGTACAACTCTGTTCATTGCCGTGAAACTTGCACGGGAGAGCTTGGTGGATCACGGCCGAGGCTCCCTCTAAGCTGCAGAGTGCGGTGAGCAAAAATTCCTATCTCACAGGGTGTCTGTCGTGGGGAGGGGAAGGGAATGGAGTTTGTAAGCCGCTCTGTTTCTGGCCACTGTGGGATACAGAGTGTTGGACTGGATGGGCCATTGGCCTGATCCAGCATTGGCGTCTCTTATGTTCTTATGTTCTTATAATACCCTTGTGCAACTCTGTTCATTGGCCGTGAAACTTGCACGGGAGAGCTTGGTGGATCACGGCCGAGGCTCCCTCCAAGCTGCAGAGTGTGGTGAGCAAAAATTCCTATCTCACAGGCAATGTTCCCTCTAAGCTGTGGAGTCTTGTGAGCAAAAATTATACTTTATGAGCTCCTGGCATTAAAGTTGTGAGCGAGCGATTTGGCTGCTGCATAAATCAGTTTGCTCTGGAGCCCCATCCTTCCTGAGCTAAGACAAAAATGTGTGAGCTGGAGGCTAAAAAACTGAGCTAGCTCACACTAACTCAGCTTAGAGGGAACACTGCTCACAGGGTGTCTGTCGTGGGGAGGGGAAGGGAAAGGAGTTTGTAAGCCCCTCTGAGACTCCTTCGGGTAGAGAAAAGAGGAGCCAGTTTGGTGTAGTGGTTAAGTGTGCTGACTCTAACCTGGGAGAACCGGGTTTGATTCCCCACTCCTCCACTTGCACCTGCTGATGTGACCTTGG